ACACACACACACACACACACACACACACACACACACACACACACACACACACTTTATATCAATTGGAATCCAATTGGTATCCTATAAAGAGCTGTTTTTATATATAGGGAGAAAAGAGAGATGCACTGAATGAGAGAAATTAAAAAATATGGATGTGATTAGAAAGGATGAAGAGAACAGCACATACATACATAATCTTTATTTTAAACAGGGTAAAAAGTTTGTCAGCTAATACATTTAATGTCTAATCACGGTCTAATATAATAAAAATAATTCAACAAAAAAGCTGCTTTCCACGAATGCTGTGCCTTAGTCATCTCCTTTGAGTAGGCGTTTAAATTGCCTCAGGGACTCTGCTTCCGCCGGCTTAAGTTGCAAGGAAAACTGTTCCAAAGAATGGCGCCACAATAAGTAATTAACAAATGGTAAACGCAATAGCGTGTACTATTGAGTTATGGATGCACGCGGAAGGTTGCTAAGCACGAAAGAAGCGTAAGAGTCGCACGAGGCGATAGCCTCGTGCGACTCTAGCTTCTTGAGTGCTTAGCAAACCTTCCAAGTGGGCAAATAGTAGACGCTAAATTAACCAATCAGAGCGCGCGCTTTGCTTTAGTTATGTTATAAAGCTATTTTTGTAATGGTTTGTGCGCGGTAATGTAGTGCAGTTTGAGAAATATTATGTTACCGAGATTCATATATCTTATGCGTCTATGTGGGCCACTTAGTGCTATAAAAAGCTGTTACTTGATCTCAAACTAATATAAATTGCTTTTTACGTGGGCATAAAGCTGATCCATTATCAAAGTAAGGCTGCCGATGAAATCACGAGGCATCTAATTTACTGGAGTAAAATCTCATTCCGCTATAAAGTTACAACATATCGTGTTGTTAAGACCGAATGAGCGGACAACAATTCATATTGAAACAGGTTAATCCACATTTATGCAGTCTGTAGAGATTCTTGAATTGAGTAAACCACTGGAAAAGAATTTGTTTTTTTTGTGCGTCATCGACTTTTAAAATAAAAAGTGAAAAAAGAAAAGAGAAAACAAAATTAATAAACGTATTATAGCTTAGCCTGTGCGTTGGTAGGTAGCGTTATCTATATATAAAGAGAATTAATTTGCGAACCATTCATGGGCCAACCTTGAGAGCAGAAAAACGTACTGCGCAGCTTTCTGCGCATCCCAATTCCCCACTTGCGGGCGCAGGTAATAATGAAGTGAAGTGGAAGTGAAAGTGAAAGACTTTATTTAATGAGGGTGACCCGTGACAGTAACTTAAGTTACCGATAAACTTGGGGCCCTCAGCTTAAAATAATTAGAATGCTAAAATGGCATTCTGCAATGGTGGAAAAAACGGCGGATTGACTGTAATAAGGTGCGCGAGTGTGTCGTTCGGTTGATATATTTATACTTGGGCAAGCATGAATTTTTTCGGCATTTCACTGTTAAGAAAACAAGGCTCCCCCTGCTTGCTAAGAGGCTCTGTTGCTTATATATTTAGTGGTTTGCTTGTATGGATGCAGTATGTACGTAAAGAGTGTTTGTAGAAAAAATTTGTGTTCGCACCAAACTTTCTGGTACACTTTTGGGAAATGAAGGGCTCGGAAACCTTCTTTAGGTTCCCTTTGTCCAAAAAAAAGGCATTGATTCTTCACAATTATGGCTCCTGTTCTTCACGAAAACAATACACCAGCTTTCCATTAGTAACGTTAAGATGTTGCTGCTTACCGGGAAAATTGGGAAAGCATAAAAAATTCGTACTTTTTTTGTTTTCACGATCGACGAAATTCTCACCATTTTTTTTAAACTTGGAGCTTGGTGCGTTGTCAAAACTCGCGCATGCTTATTATGTTTTCCGCTATGAAGGGCCAGCCTTGTTTCCGGGGATTTTCCCTGAAAAATGTGTACGTAAAAAAACCCTGGGAACGAGCTGAAGTTATTTATGTGTTTCTGTGCCACTATTTTTTGTGTGGCGTTGAAGCCGTTAGCTCTATACTTACTTGTTTGGATCTCCAGATAAATCTTTATTTACAAACATTCAGTTTATTTATTACCACTGAATTCGTGACCTCGGCGTTAATAAGTGCTATCTGCTAACCGTTAAGATGCTAATTTTTAGTTCAATTAAACTGTTTAGCGTTATTTATCTTTGTCAGATCGCTGTTAGTAAATTGCTGCATGCGCAGCTGCTTTAACCGAGTTGAATTAGGCAGGAAGGGGAGGAAGAGGAGCGGGGGAGAGGAGAGTTTTAACACTGAAACGAACAGATGGAACATGAAACTGTGATTAGAAACTAAAAAAAAAAACATTTCGACATCCTTTCTGAACGACTGGTAATGCTCTTCAATGTGAAAACTGTAAAGTTTTGACAAATTCCCACAGCAACACTTGCTCCGGCTTGAGCTTAACAATATTTTTTCACAGCCAGAAACAATTAAAATCCAAAAGGAATGAATTCATAGAAACAGTGTACCCGCTGGTTTAAGCCAGTGAAATTATAGCCATTTGCATGTTCACCGAGGCCTCGAGTTGAAAAGTAATTATTCTTATATAGTAATAAAATTTGCTTCGTGTCTGTTTGCCTTGCTATTAGCTTGAAGGACTTTGTTGACTAGTGAAGTTGTTTTTATTAACCTTTCCAGAGTGCCAAAATGCTATCAGATGAGTGAGCTTCCCCTCCGGAAAGTAATTTCAGGTTTTGTATCTCGTGCTGACATCTGACGGAGCAAAGTAATGAAAAAATATCTTTAAAAAAGTCTTTTGTTTAAATAACAAAAACAGATAAGAAGATCAGGGATGTTTTTCGGCACGTCTATCAACAAAGTTTCGAAACCATGCTTTAAATAAGGCGGTTGGTAATGTCGAAAAATAAAAACTGACCGGAAGAGAAGGAGTCTGTTCGGGAAACTTAGTTATGTTATATCTCAAACTCTCCTTCGTATACTCAGAGAATCTTATCAACTTGATCATTTTTATGCCCTCACCTGCCAGTATTGAATACTCTAGCACGAACATGTATCCAAGTTCAGAATACATTTGAGTGTTTTGGTTTCCGTGCAATGAAGGAAAGTGGTAAGGGAGAGAGAAGGGGAGTGGGCAGGGAGAGAGATTGCACCTGATGGATATGTGTTTGGTGGTCCCAGATTCAACTCCTCCACGCTTTGTAAATAGCCAACGGGTCAGCCTCCCGCCAGTTGGGGTTTTTAACAAGTTTCTGTTTAATTTACAATATTTGTTTGCTTATTTCAGTGTCCACAATTAGTAAAGCAGTGTTAAACACTTCTACTTAAATAGAGAGAGTGGCTTTATTTTTTATTTATTTACTTAGAGGCTTGAAAGAGAAAGAGGGGAGGGGCTTATTCCCAATGACACATTATTGAAATGAACCTTTGCAAAATTTATTACACGACTAACTAAACCATGGTGATTGTAATGGATTCTGTACCACTATTTTCCTAAAAGCAACATCATTTATATCCTAACGTACAATGATTTGTCAGGACCTTACAACGTTTTATTCAAACTGGCCCTCCGGGATTACGGCAAGTAGTTTCCGGTCACGTTAGAGCAAAAATCATAATGCGCGTCAAAATCTAGTTTTGTATAATTCGCTTTCGAGTGTTGGGAACTTTCTCAGTCAGTTCGAAACTATCGGACTTACCACAGCTACAGGTTCAACCCAAGCACTTGGTAAAGATTTGTTCCCATAACTGCGTAACCTTCACTCGGTTGGATTCAAAATTCAGCAAGAAATGAACAAAAGCCGAAACGATTCTTTCAATGTAAGCGGCCACACTATGGATGGAGACCATCCCGAAGATTCTCAAGTCTCTAAGGAACAGATCACCAAAGTTGCTGCATACGCAACTATCATGTTGTTGTCTTTATGTGGAAACACACTTGTCCTTATCGTCGTCAAGAAGAACATCGGAGGCAGAATGCACTCCGCACGCAATTACCTTCTAACGAGCTTGGCCGTCATAGATTTAGTCCTTACAGTGGGTAGCATGCCAGAAAGACTCGTAAGAGCATTGACAAATGATGTGTGGCTCATTGAAGGCGCTATGGGAGTAACGCTGTGTAAAGCGACAAACTTTTTTGAAAAGCTGTCGTTCAATGTTTCTACTCTCAGCTTGGTTCTCATTGCCGTGGATCGGTTTTTGGCGGTGATGTTCCCTCATCAAAAATACTTTACAAACCGCAGGGCCTTCGCAGCCATTGGCCTGATATGGCTTCTATCAGCCGTTTATTGGTCTCCAATACTTTATTATGGCGGCCTGTTACAAGAAGATGGCAAAACCCTTTGCAAAGTGCGACGATTCTTCTCGAAATGGAAAGTGTGGTACTTGCTGTTTCTGGTGCAACTTCTGCTTTCCCTTGTTCTAGTTGTTATACTCTACATTTCAATTTGCTACAAACTATGGCGGCGCCATTCTAAAAATAAAATCGGAGCAAGACCTTCATTTAATTCAAACCGCGCTGCGCGAGATTTAAAAATTAACCGAAAGGTCCTTAAAATGGTAGCGGTTGTTTTAATTGCGTTTTACATCTGTTTCCTCCCGTACTGGATTGGTTGGGTCTTCTGCTCATATTATTACTCAGAATTTGTTTGTGACGACACCTTCATCTTCGCTGCCATTTATCTATCTTATGCTAATAGTAGCTTAAATCCATTCATATATTGTATTTTTAGCGAGAGCTTTCGCCGAGCTTTTAAACAGGTCATCCAAGAGACATGTCCTTGGTCTGTATGTTCCCGAAAGACTGAGCCGGTTGATCCGGGCTTGCCACCGCCGAGAATGCCCATTAACATGCTCGTTGAAATGTCGGTGCACTCCGTCGAGAAGACTGAAGGCCAAGATGAGATTGAATCAAAAGAAGAAAGCCGTGAGAATGAAAAGTGGGGAAGTTGACATGACCAAAAGCTCTAAACACTCAGGAAACTCTCTCAATTTCTCTTCGAATTATGCAGTCTAAGAAAGATTATTTTCATTGTTTCCACACGTAATATCCCATGATAAGAAGTGTATGATTTAGAAGTATTTTCTTAAGCCTGTGATGATTTTGATTATATACCCTTACAGTCTTCTCAATCTAACAGTCTGTTTCTCGCAAACGAATAAAATAACGCAATCGTCCAGTAATTAACTGCTTCACGCAGAGAGTCGTCGCTCTCTTATTGTCACAGGGGACCCTCACAAAAAATTATAGTACGATTCAGGGTTTAAATAAAGTACTGACTGTGCACGCGGTCGTGTGATGGGTTCCGCTGGAGTCGAAAAATGGCCGAGAGAATTCGAAAATTGTCGGGGCTAGCTCCAAACCTTCTAGGTTCCAGACCTCGAACCAGATGGTCGCGTTTCAACTCTACCGCAGGTACTATCTCCTTAAACAGGCTTTTATTTAGTTTACTTTTCTTTAATAACTAGCAATATTTTAAATTACAGTAGATTATCTGTATACATAGTCTTTCGTAATAAGTTGTAGCTTTTATATTAAATTGTTAATGCCTGATGTATTTACCGTGTTCGTAAATAAAGATGATGATGATGATGATGTGCAGTGTCCCTCTTAAACCAAAATATAAAATGGGGAGTGGGGGGTTGGTGTTGCGGGGTGGGGGTGGGGGTGGAGGAGAGATTTGAACATCGGAATAAACTCTGGAAGCGTTGTTACTTTAGCCATAGTACAGAGTTAACATCACACACTCACACACTCATCCTCATCGGGCCCGTGAGGACTGTTGAGGCACAACAAGGTATAAAACCAACCTCGAACTTCAAACACTTTTTCCGCATACAGATCACCTCAAAAGTGAACGTTTCTTTTGTTACTGGCGACCATCGATTATCAAAATTCCCGGTGATTCTACCTCAAAAACGAAGGCCTTGTTCTTTCGCCCCTGTTCTCTGTTGTGAGAACCTGGGGTTCTCTGATCTTCTCTCAGTCTGCTTGCCAAGTTTCAATCTGATTGGGCAGCAAAAAAAACAGAAGGGAAACAAGCCAAGGCTAGATCTTTTCAAAAAAGCTCAAAGGCACTTAAAACACAAACAAGCAAACGAAGGCCGAGGCGCAAGCGAATGAATAATGACAACCGAAAACGGACTGGACTCTATTAGATAGTTTCCAGATCCTTTTCTGCTGGTGGACGAAGACAGAGCGTGGCTACACAGCACTACCTCGTTCGCATGTACCTGGTAAACATGGCGGAACGAAGGGTGAAGTTGTTGTCGCTGTCTTTAAATCAAATACGATGAAAATTAGGGATGCCAGATGGCAGCTGCGGTTAATTCAAATGCAAGTTTAGAACGTGAGCAACAAGGGCAAGATGTTTTTCAGGGTGCTGAGCCTGGAGCCGGGTATGTTTTGTCATTTCAAGGCTTCTTATTACACAAACACAGTTTTGATTTGAATCCGTGCTTAATGCAAGCTTTAATATTAAGCTTGCTATTATTTATTTAAAGCCTAATTACATTACACTTTTCTAAACTATAAACAATGTCGAAGTGAATGGAAACTCTTTGAAATTAATGGAAAGTGGCAGAATGCAGCGAAAACAAAGTGAAATCTCTGCATCATTTCATTTAATACGCTTAAACCTTAGATTAAGCTCGAGCTTTATTCATATTACGTTAGCACTGTATGTGTATATTTATATATTTGTATATTTGTATAGTCATAGGATGTTTGTGCGGCTAATTTTTATTCGAAAAATGCCAACTGAATTTGAGAGTAAAAAGGTAAGGTGTGCAAGAGGTATTGTCATACACTGCTGGAGCTTATTCTAACAGTGTTGTATGATGTAATGAGGAGTGTAAATAGGATGCTCTTTTATCGTAGGCTGTCACCATGCTAGAATTTTGTAAGGTTGTGCTAAAGTTTGTGCCAACTATTTATACTACTGGGAGGAGAGAAGAATACCCTGGGAGACAGATATTCCCTTTTCTTCCTGCTCAGCAAGAGATGTGTGGGAACCTCTGCTCATAAATTTTCAACTGTTTAATCAGGTTGAATTTCCAAAGGGGGAAGAGGAAGAGAATGGCTTGAACTAAAAAAGCCCTTTGTAAGGATATGTTTTGGAGCGACAATTTGTTATATGATTTGGAAAGACCACTATGTGAATTAACAATGCTATTTTAACACTGCTTGGCTTTACAGATCAGTTGACCATGAACCACTCCTGTATGTGCAGTCTGATGAAGAACTTGATGTTTCTGTGGATGAAATCTGTACTGATCCTGAATCCAGAACATCTGCTCATTCAGATGTAAGCCTAGCTTCTGGACTCATTTCCAATTTAAGCAGTCATGGATCTCCAGAGGGAGCAATATTTGACGTCCCTGGTGGTATGCCCAAAGTTGGAACTCCTGATCAGGATGAAAATTTCCATGAAATTTCTTATACTGTACAGACAGAGGCGACAGGTGATGTGGATGGTCCAGTTGAGATGAAAATGAGTCTACTGAATGTTGAAGATGAACAAGAAGGTAACAGCCTGAGTTTCTATTTTCTCTGTGTACTGTCTATGCCAAAATTACCTAAACAAGAGTTAAATTGCAATAGTCTTATAGTACCACTTAAGTCTGCATTGGGCCCAGTGGTCCATACAGTATGCCCAGAACGTATCACAGTTTCTGTACATTTAGCATGAAGTATTTCTATGCTACTCCCCCTGGATGGGACGCTAGTCCATCAAAGGGTTATCCTCCAGCATTAAATTCACCTGTACTCAGTTATACATGTACTCTTGGGTGGAGAGAGGCACTGTGAGTAAAGTGTTTTGTCCAAGAACACAATCTATTGACTGAACCCAGACTGCTTGATCTGGAGTCCAGCATGCTAACCATTAGGCCACAGAGCCTCTCAGTCTACAAGAAATGACATGTATATATTGTAGGTCAAAATGAAATTCAGGTTAAAATAATTTTAACCTAGTTTGATTCTCAATTTCCTTTGTTTAGAGAATCAAACTAGGTTACAGCGCTCCCAGCTGCGACCATTTTGGTCGCCATGGCGAGTGAAGAAAATATTTGGCGACTAAAATTTGGACGAAAGTTGCCAATTGGTGACCAACAGATTATAAAAGAAACTTACTTGGAAAATTAATCGATGTTTGGTCGAATTATCAAAAGTAAAAACGACGGTATCTCCGGTCTTTCTCCTTCTCGTCATTCTGCTACTCGATACGAATGCGTAAACCCAAAATGAGCGTAAACTGGGAAGAAGCCAAACAAAGCTTGGTAAATCCATACAGGCTTATGGTAGTTTATAGTGGTTATCTCTTGTATAAAGCCAGAAGATGGATGAAGATGTAGACATGTGATTGTGGATGTAGGTTGCGTTAGTCTTAAATGAATGACTACTTATCGATACTTAGTGTGATCAAGTCGAAATGATTGAAGGTAAATTTCATTTCACATAGTGCAGCATTTTGATACAAACAGTCTGACTAATTATATGTTACGCAATTAAGGAATGTATGGAAATAGGATTGATCGAGTCAAGTCCAAATAAGCGTAAATCTACCTCAGTTGTTTACGTGGTGGTCGTCTCTGCAGCTCAAAATGGCCAATTTGATCGATTTAAAAGGTTTTGCGTACCATTGGCGATTTGTTACCCGGTCTCAGCTGCTTTGTAATAAATCATTTCTGCTACCAGACATCCGAGTCTCTTCCTTCGCTTTGTCTTGCCCGTTATTACAATCTTTTAATTGGCAAGCGAGTAAACGTAACAATTCGGCAAAGGAAAGTGCTGCAAATGGGCCGCTCGGTGTAGTAGACATTCATGTAACATACACGAAGTGTCCGCCCCTGGATATTACGTTTTTTTTTTTTTTTGGCGACCAAATTTTTTTTTTATGGCAGCCATTTTATGATCGAAGGTCACCGAAAGGCGACTTTTTGAAAAAGTGAGCTTGGAGCGCTGGGTTAAATTCATTTTAACCTGAATTTCATTTTCACCTACAACATATACGTTGTGGTTTAAATTTGATTTTAATTTGATTTTAAGTGTTGAAAAAAAAAATGTTATTTTTGTAATCTAAAAACAAGGGATGTTATTTTCAGCAGCTGTAACTTTACATACATGTAATCTATAAGCAATTCAACACAACCCTGATTTAATAACAAATATGACTGTAATCAGTTGCTCCTGAAAATAACTACCCCTTCACCTGACAAAAGATTTTTTGTTGGAGTTTGGATCCCATCCCAAGATTCACTTTTTTAAATTAGCTTTATACTTTCCAAGAAAAATTCTGGCTTTTGAGATATCCCAGACCCCTTGGAAATTCCAGTGTTTTACAAGTTACATGTATGCATATGTTTTCTGGAACTGACACTCAGCATAATGAACGTCTACAGAATGAGCTACAGTGTATTTCTGACACCAGTCTCTGGAATTGAATACAGTTTAACATCGGTCAACTGGGGTTGCAGTCATTTCTTAAGAATACATGACAGATTGTATATATTCAACATTAGTACATACCACACAAGTGAATAGTGCTTTTCGTGCGCTCTGATTGGTTAACTTGGAGGTGATTAGCAAGTACTTTTCACCTCTGAGCAGCCGGTGTGAGAGATTTTAAAATTTCTGACCACTTGTCACACATAAAATAACGTTTTGGTCCGCTAATTATTCAGCTTGTGTGGTATATACTGAAACAGTTATTCACCTCAGTATCGGTGAAAGTGATGGATATTTACCTCCACTTTGGTGAATAATTATTTACCAAAGTGGAGGTAAATATCCATCACTTTCACCGATACTGAGGTGAATAATTGTTTCAGTATATACCAGACACCAGGTACCAGGTAGTATCCCAAGACTACCTTGACAAATAATAATTAACAATTGTTAATTATTATTTGTCAAGGTAGTCTTGGGATATTTGGTGTTTTTGAAAGCTGGCAGATTCAATAAACAAGCATGGCTCAAGTGCCATATTATTAACTACTTACTAACCTAGCTTGTTTGAACTGTACTGTGGAATATTGGCCCTCTGCCGTTTGTACGGACCTTGCTGTACTGCTCGTCTGTACTGCCACAGCCATAGGCCAATATTCCCTAGTATGGCCCATGCACATAGTAAGAAGTCATTGCATATAGTTAGTAAGAAGCCATTACACATATTTGATATTTGTCATTGTCAGAGGCACGTAAGACAAGAGCTGAGAGTGTACGAGAAATCACCAGAGAGGCATCGGTGGAAGGTGTGTATACAAGAAAAAGATTCGTATCCTGATGGCTGACTTTTGTGTTAAAATTCACACAAACCCTGATGATATGCAAGTTACAGAGCATTCCATGCAGCTTAGTTTGCATCTGTAGTGTCTAGTTTTGATTATGCCTGCCTGTTTGGGTTATGTGTTGAATATGACATTAGATCTAAGTATTGTTATAATGGCTGCTTTCAGCATATTATGCCTTATCATTATTTTATCTTACTTGCAGATGTAAATAATCCTGAATGGACTCGGCACAAGAAGCATGTTTTTGCTTTTAGTGAGGCTGGCAAGCCAATTTACTCTAGGTGAGTCTGAGGAAAGTGAACATTACTTGGATGAACGATGCCTAATTACATTGTCAACTTATTCTTTTTAAATATTTTTTGTGATAATTATTATCTACAGGTAATTATTGTATAACATTACTATGAACTAGTGGGCAGAATTTGCTTTTATATACTGTTTCACCTACAAAAATGATGTTAACCAAAAATTAATGCCCCAGTGAGGGTTGTTAGTCATATGTGTCTGAACTTTATGGTGGTAATCTTAAACTACAGGTAGTAAGGTTGTTTGCTTATTTATATATGCAGGTATGGTAGTGAGGACAAACTGGCGACTCTCATGGGTGTTATGCAAGCTTTAGTTTCTTTTGTCCAGGATGGCAAAAATACAATNACTGCTTGGCTTTACAGATCAGTTGACCATGAACCACTCCTGTATGTGCAGTCTGATGAAGAACTTGATGTTTCTGTGGATGAAATCTGTACTGATCCTGAATCCAGAACATCTGCTCATTCAGATGTAAGCCTAGCTTCTGGACTCATTTCCAATTTAAGCAGTCATGGATCTCCAGAGGGAGCAATATTTGACGTCCCTGGTGGTATGCCCAAAGTTGGAACTCCTGATCAGGATGAAAATTTCCATGAAATTTCTTATACTGTACAGACAGAGGCGACAGGTGATGTGGATGGTCCAGTTGAGATGAAAATGAGTCTACTGAATGTTGAAGATGAACAAGAAGGTAACAGCCTGAGTTTCTATTTTCTCTGTGTACTGTCTATGCCAAAATTACCTAAACAAGAGTTAAATTGCAATAGTCTTATAGTACCACTTAAGTCTGCATTGGGCCCAGTGGTCCATACAGTATGCCCAGAACGTATCACAGTTTCTGTACATTTAGCATGAAGTATTTCTATGCTACTCCCCCTGGATGGGACGCTAGTCCATCAAAGGGTTATCCTCCAGCATTAAATTCACCTGTACTCAGTTATACATGTACTCTTGGGTGGAGAGAGGCACTGTGAGTAAAGTGTTTTGTCCAAGAACACAATCTATTGACTGAACCCAGACTGCTTGATCTGGAGTCCAGCATGCTAACCATTAGGCCACAGAGCCTCTCAGTCTACAAGAAATGACATGTATATATTGTAGGTCAAAATGAAATTCAGGTTAAAATAATTTTAACCTAGTTTGATTCTCAATTTCCTTTGTTTAGAGAATCAAACTAGGTTACAGCGCTCCCAGCTGCGACCATTTTGGTCGCCATGGCGAGTGAAGAAAATATTTGGCGACTAAAATTTGGACGAAAGTTGCCAATTGGTGACCAACAGATTATAAAAGAAACTTACTTGGAAAATTAATCGATGTTTGGTCGAATTATCAAAAGTAAAAACGACGGTATCTCCGGTCTTTCTCCTTCTCGTCATTCTGCTACTCGATACGAATGCGTAAACCCAAAATGAGCGTAAACTGGGAAGAAGCCAAACAAAGCTTGGTAAATCCATACAGGCTTATGGTAGTTTATAGTGGTTATCTCTTGTATAAAGCCAGAAGATGGATGAAGATGTAGACATGTGATTGTGGATGTAGGTTGCGTTAGTCTTAAATGAATGACTACTTATCGATACTTAGTGTGATCAAGTCGAAATGATTGAAGGTAAATTTCATTTCACATAGTGCAGCATTTTGATACAAACAGTCTGACTAATTATATGTTACGCAATTAAGGAATGTATGGAAATAGGATTGATCGAGTCAAGTCCAAATAAGCGTAAATCTACCTCAGTTGTTTACGTGGTGGTCGTCTCTGCAGCTCAAAATGGCCAATTTGATCGATTTAAAAGGTTTTGCGTACCATTGGCGATTTGTTACCCGGTCTCAGCTGCTTTGTAATAAATCATTTCTGCTACCAGACATCCGAGTCTCTTCCTTCGCTTTGTCTTGCCCGTTATTACAATCTTTTAATTGGCAAGCGAGTAAACGTAACAATTCGGCAAAGGAAAGTGCTGCAAATGGGCCGCTCGGTGTAGTAGACATTCATGTAACATACACGAAGTGTCCGCCCCTGGATATTACGTTTTTTTTTTTTTTTGGCGACCAAATTTTTTTTTTATGGCAGCCATTTTATGATCGAAGGTCACCGAAAGGCGACTTTTTGAAAAAGTGAGCTTGGAGCGCTGGGTTAAATTCATTTTAACCTGAATTTCATTTTCACCTACAACATATACGTTGTGGTTTAAATTTGATTTTAATTTGATTTTAAGTGTTGAAAAAAAAAATGTTATTTTTGTAATCTAAAAACAAGGGATGTTATTTTCAGCAGCTGTAACTTTACATACATGTAATCTATAAGCAATTCAACACAACCCTGATTTAATAACAAATATGACTGTAATCAGTTGCTCCTGAAAATAACTACCCCTTCACCTGACAAAAGATTTTTTGTTGGAGTTTGGATCCCATCCCAAGATTCACTTTTTTAAATTAGCTTTATACTTTCCAAGAAAAATTCTGGCTTTTGAGATATCCCAGACCCCTTGGAAATTCCAGTGTTTTACAAGTTACATGTATGCATATGTTTTCTGGAACTGACACTCAGCATAATGAACGTCTACAGAATGAGCTACAGTGTATTTCTGACACCAGTCTCTGGAATTGAATACAGTTTAACATCGGTCAACTGGGGTTGCAGTCATTTCTTAAGAATACATGACAGATTGTATATATTCAACATTAGTACATACCACACAAGTGAATAGTGCTTTTCGTGCGCTCTGATTGGTTAACTTGGAGGTGATTAGCAAGTACTTTTCACCTCTGAGCAGCCGGTGTGAGAGATTTTAAAATTTCTGACCACTTGTCACACATAAAATAACGTTTTGGTCCGCTAATTATTCAGCTTGTGTGGTATATACTGAAACAGTTATTCACCTCAGTATCGGTGAAAGTGATGGATATTTACCTCCACTTTGGTGAATAATTATTTACCAAAGTGGAGGTAAATATCCATCACTTTCACCGATACTGAGGTGAATAATTGTTTCAGTATATACCAGACACCAGGTACCAGGTAGTATCCCAAGACTACCTTGACAAATAATAATTAACAATTGTTAATTATTATTTGTCAAGGTAGTCTTGGGATATTTGGTGTTTTTGAAAGCTGGCAGATTCAATAAACAAGCATGGCTCAAGTGCCATATTATTAACTACTTACTAACCTAGCTTGTTTGAACTGTACTGTGGAATATTGGCCCTCTGCCGTTTGTACGGACCTTGCTGTACTGCTCGTCTGTACTGCCACAGCCATAGGCCAATATTCCCTAGTATGGCCCATGCACATAGTAAGAAGTCATTGCATATAGTTAGTAAGAAGCCATTACACATATTTGATATTTGTCATTGTCAGAGGCACGTAAGACAAGAGCTGAGAGTGTACGAGAAATCACCAGAGAGGCATCGGTGGAAGGTGTGTATACAAGAAAAAGATTCGTATCCTGATGGCTGACTTTTGTGTTAAAATTCACACAAACCCTGATGATATGCAAGTTACAGAGCATTCCATGCAGCTTAGTTTGCATCTGTAGTGTCTAGTTTTGATTATGCCTGCCTGTTTGGGTTATGTGTTGAATATGACATTAGATCTAAGTATTGTTATAATGGCTGCTTTCAGCATATTATGCCTTATCATTATTTTATCTTACTTGCAGATGTAAATAATCCTGAATGGACTCGGCACAAGAAGCATGTTTTTGCTTTTAGTGAGGCTGGCAAGCCAATTTACTCTAGGTGAGTCTGAGGAAAGTGAACATTACTTGGATGAACGATGCCTAATTACATTGTCAACTTATTCTTTTTAAATATTTTTTGTGATAATTATTATCTACAGGTAATTATTGTATAACATTACTATGAACTAGTGGGCAGAATTTGCTTTTATATACTGTTTCACCTACAAAAATGATGTTAACCAAAAATTAATGCCCCAGTGAGGGTTGTTAGTCATATGTGTCTGAACTTTATGGTGGTAATCTTAAACTACAGGTAGTAAGGTTGTTTGCTTATTTATATATGCAGGTATGGTAGTGAGGACAAACTGGCGACTCTCATGGGTGTTATGCAAGCTTTAGTTTCTTTTGTCCAGGATGGCAAAAATACAATAAGGTGAGAGTTACTCAATGGGCCAATAACTTACTGTTCCCGTCCCCTTTGGGAGGGGCTGGCTTGATTTGATGGTAACATACATGTAGTATGGTCTGACTTTAAACTTTTCCACTGTCATTTGTTGGCAGTACTATATACAGCATCATTATCTTTATTATTTCGCGGCATACCTGGAAACTAGCTTGCAGCTAAGTGTACTGACCGGTCACGCTAATAAAGCAATTGATTGATTGATCAGCCAAAGGAGTGGCAAATTTCAGCATTCTAGTGTACTTGTCTTATAGTAAGAATTTTGGTTAGGATTATCAAAATGTTGACACTGTCTTTGAAAGTAATAAACTAAGTGCAATCACCATGAATGTGAATGTATTGTTAGCATCCACTGATCTACTTTTACCTTTTTAGGTGTATAATGGCAGGCAGTCATAAATTTGTATTCTTAGTTAGAGGTCATGTTGTTTTAGTGGCTGTGGCATACACACAGGAGTCAGTCACTCAGGTATACTGTTCATTACATGCATTTGTATTTACTAATATTTGATGCATTTATATTTGTATAATTTAATTAGTTGTGTTTCACGTACAAAAGTAGTAATAGCCTTGAGGTGGTAAGACTCCAAACATAGCTGGATGCTAGTGGTTTGCCAAGTAACTACATCTGACTAGACTACTGCAAATACACTGTAGTGTTGTTTCTATCTCCATTTTTAAAGTATTCTTAATGATTTACTCTTGTGTAAACATCTTGTTGGCATTTTATGGATAGCTGCACATCTGCAATGCAACAAAACAGTGTGAGATGCAGTGTCGAGCCCTGTTGTAATGGTTTTATGTGGTATGAGTTATCTCATACATTGCTGTTTAGAGGTATGCGTATCCTTACCAAAATCCTCACTGCCCTCCGAGTAGTTTTCTTTCACAGATTGTTCTAACTCACTGATTGTATCACTTCTTGTTTTTCTCTTAGTTGGTACTACAGTTGTCCTATGTTTATAATCAAATCCTTAGTGTTTTAACTTATACTCAACTAGCAAGAATAATGGAACAACGAAGAAATTATGATCTTAGAAGACTCTTATCAGGTAAGAAATACAGTATTATTAATGTGTTGTGTGTCAGTGCTATTTAGAAAATGGTAAGAGCTGTTTATTATTGTAGAACATTTTCATAGTACTCAGGTTTTTCAACAGCTTTCTTTAGTGCCAGATTTTTATCTGAGATTAGCAGAGGCCAAACGCTTTCCCGCTGTGTGACTTGTTGGGTGCCCCAAAGGTGCCAGCCAGTAGTACATGTAGGTCTGGGGGCTAACTCCAGAGAAATGCTGTTCCCAGAGTCCTTGAGACCAGAGAAACAAACTCTCCTGAAAAAGTCAAATATGTAATAACTAATAACCCTTAGTTGAGAGGGGTAGTGAATTTGACAATTGTATTGTATTGTATTGATTTGTATAATTTGTATTGTATTGTATTGTATTGTATTATTTGTATTGTATTGTATTGTATTGTATTGTATTGTACAATTTGTATTGCGTTGTATTGTAATGTATTGTATTGTATTGATTCTGTGAAATAAAATGAAGGTGATAATCTTTGTAGTTACATGTAGCTATTATGCTTCAATATATAAGAAGGTTATGAGATGCTTAAGCCAAAAACAGAAAGGAATGCAGTTATATGGTATCAAAGTATCAGACATGGTATGATACAGAACCACACAAAATGTCTGGCCTCCAGCCCCAAACAAAATCCTTGAGTGCTTAGCAATATTGTTTTTTACAAACAGTAGGAAATGTTTGCATAGGAAGAGAACTCATTGCCCTCAGGAGAGAGATTTCATTGTTTGGCAACACTAATATGACCTCAGGGCTTGAAAAAAACTTGAATTCCAGCTTGCCCATCAGACCAGCAGTTCTAAAATTTTGCTTGCCCTGGGCAAGTTTTACTTTACTTTTATTGCGATCTAGTTGGCAGATGACCTGCCTTGGCCCTTGCCCATCAGGCAAGTGAGAATGAAAAATAACTTGCCTGGCAGGAAAATCTACTCCCGGTCGACTGGATGGCCCTTTTTTTGAGCCCTGGTATATGGGCCTTTTTGGTCAGAAAATCAAACGTTAAATTATTAGAACTGATCTTTTGATCATTTGCTCTCACAGGAACAGAGAAATTTATAGATAATTTATTGAATTTAATGGATCATGAACCCAGCTTTCTGTTAGGATCGGTAAGTAAATTACTGTTAGTAGTGACTTACTTTGTTATCTGAAGTTCCTTTGTAACACATGTACAGTTTAGGAGTACATCAAGTAACATAGTGGTTCACATGTTTTCTTTGTTTGCTTTCAGGTAAGGTGTTTACCACTTTCAAGTTCTGTTAGAGAAACCATTGGTCAGAGCATGCTTCAAGCGCGAGTCAAGGTAAAAACGGCAACATCAATATTATTTATTTTGTCCTTTTGTTTTTGGTATATTTATTTATTTATTTATTTATTTATTTACTGTAGTGTTTAACTATTATTGTATTTCTTATTTATTTATTTATTTATTTATTTATTTGTTTAGTGTTTTTTTTTAGTGTTAGTGCGTCTAGTAAATATGCTTGTAACCGTAATTGTCAGTGTAAATAATAAAGAAATTAAAAGATTGTTAAATTTAAAAAAAAAAACATCAATATCAGTTACATGCCAAGTACCAAGTACATGATATAGTAGCCTTATAGCAAAACCCCATAGGATGTAATGGTCTGTTTACCTTTAAACTGTCACGTAACGCTTCGGGAATACGCGCTGCCTTACGGCTCTCAAAAACCGGTTGCGAAGGGACAAATAATTGCGTGATTCGTGAATTTTTGGTGACTCAGTAAAAGTCACGCGAATGTTCGTGAAATAGGATATTGTTCTCCTTTTGAAAATGGTTCTTTCTCTTAATTTTCTACAGGATCTCCAAACCTGTTTAGTTTTAAACCATAATATTTTATATAACTTAATAGTTCAGGTATTTTAAAAAAATATTTTTCCAAAGTAGTAGCAGCGGTACCCCTCAGTATTTGAAAAGTTATTACGTTTTCATCTCGCGTTGATGAGAAACGCAGCCAGTGAAATTTTGTTTGTAAAGATCAACCATTGTTGCAGTACCCCATTGATAACAAACCCTTCCCAAAAATCGTACACGGAGTAATGTAGATTGTTCTTGTTCTACACTGTTCTCTCCTCAGGACCTGGTATTTGCCATTTTAGTTGCTAATAATCAGTTGATCACGTTGATCAGACCAAAGAAGTACAGCCTGCATCCTTCAGGTATGTTTGTACGACGTATAGGTAATTCAGTCACTTTCATTTTTGACAACTGTACGTCTCATTAGTTTGTCATTTTAAGAATCTTTCACAGTAGAAATGATTATTTCCTCCGACGGAATTACTTTTAGTAAACGACTACGAGAAAACATTCTTACAATAGGTAAAGAAAAAACACGCAACTTGAAATGTCTCGGAAATTGTAGCTTTACAGTACAACCTCAGATTAACGAACGAATCTTGTCCCTGTGCTCAGGTTATTTGAAATTTCTAGAGACGTGTACTTTTTTCTATGTTAATGACAAACTTGATTAAAAAATTCCTGGTTATTTAAAGCATATTTTTCCAGCCCTTTCAGGTGAATTACAATTTATCCGGGGTTACACTGTAATAAGTTATCTTAACCAAAATGTTGCTAGTTCGGTCCATCATTTGTTCTGTGGTAAATTACACGTAGCCTCCCCTTCGAGCCCTTAATCTTTTTTTTCTGCGGTCTCTTCAGATCTTCACCTCATCTTCAACCTAGTCAGTGCGTCCACGTCATTTCAAACTGCGGAGTCCTGGACTCCAATTTGTTTACCGCGCTTTGATAACAGGTGAGTAAATAACATAACAGTGTACAAGTACTTTGGATTAAGTACGAAATCTTGCCTGAGAATCATCCACATCGCCGACTTTTGGCAAGGATGCTAATAAGTACATAGTAGGGACCTTAAGCACCGACGACGACGAGCCCAGAGGACGACGACCGGAAGTCCTCTGGGCTCATATATTCGTGCAATTTTCGACATTGATTTTTATTATAACTATAGGAGAAGAGGATTCAAGATGGCGGACGGACGCTTTGTCACGAGCTCTTGGCTTCTGTTTCTTTTTCTCCTGTTATATATCATCTGCCTCTTCCAGGATAACAGGCATGACCTATTAACCGAATTTCAGCACCGTAAATTATGTGTTATGCCATCCTGTCGACTGAAAGTGGAAAGCTGGACATTCATCCACCGAAGGCCACGAGTCACAGCATGGAAGACTGTTATGAATGTCTTAACACGGGTTAAAAGATCAAAGGCGACCACGGCTTACTACGATAATTNGTCTGTAAATTAAACAGAACAGCAGACAGTTATCTACAGGGCTAGGAAATTTCACAATTAACCAAAATATGTGTGATACGCAGCGCACTAGCATTTGAGAAAAGAGAAAAAAAATCAGTTTGGTTCAGTTGTGGTAAATAACCCTCCAGACTTGCAGTCCTTCGATAAGGGAAAACAGCTTTGAACTATAGATAACGGCGGGACAGAGAAAATTATTTTCAAAGTTCTTGTATAACATTTAACATTGCTCTTTCATATCTGGAAACCTGAAGTCCTAGTTCACAGTTTGTTCAGTAAGTTGCTATTGAACCCAAGGACTGGATGGTTTGGAAAGAATAAAGTTCTCGTTTTAGGCCGAAAATAGCATTCAAATCGTTTTCTACGGATACACAGTTAGAGTCAATTCGAATTCTCTTTTTCTTTTGGCATTATATTTTTAGGGCAAAAGGAAACTTATTGTGCAAGTCAACTCCCAAGGCGAAACACTGAAGCCACGTGGAAGTTTTAACGGCACTTCAAAACTCGTTTCTTCTGGCTAAGAAAATAAATCTAGAGCAAAATCGCAAGAAGTTGCTGTTGCTTACCCTTGCTTACATTGATGAAGTTTGATGAAATACATTTGCGGTTTCTTCGGTCCCTCGTCACAACGATTCTCAACAGAAACTCCAGCACTTCGTTTCATCTTCACACGGCCGCGAACTGTTTGAAACGAAGCAAATTACAATTTGTCATGAATATGGATTAAAAATCAAACCCCATCGCGGTTAAGTACGTCACAGCGTTTAGGTGTGCACTGCATCCTCACGCTTTTTCCAGGCGCTTTTGCTTAATTTGTTATTCAGACAGCATTTCTTGGAATACTGGCGAATTACTCGCACTGTAAAGTCGCTTTCAGAAGTGGATTTTTTTAAAATGACAATTTGCATTTTACGTATAGCTTGGAAAACTGAGAAGTGTTTTTTAAACAAAATTTCTCGTCCTGTCAGATCGAATGGAATCTGAAAAACTTAAAAATAAAAAAAATAAAATTATTAAACGAAAAAGTACTCAAGCACTCCCGCAAGCTCATTGGTCAGGAATACCAAAATTGACGTGTGTAGTGTTATTAACTGGCTTAATTTTAACTCGTCATTTTTATTGTAATAAAGGATGTAGAAATACTTCGCAGCAACATAATTACTAAACATTCCTGAAAGGTATGTGAGATAGAAGCAATAGTTCGAACTTAAATTAAAAGAAATGTCCAGCCGGTGATACAAGGCAGGCTCTGGTATCTAAAACCNTAAGAAAATAAATCTAGAGCAAAATCGCAAGAAGTTGCTGTTGCTTACCCTTGCTTACATTGATGAAGTTTGATGAAATACATTTGCGGTTTCTTCGGTCCCTCGTCACAACGATTGTCAACAGAAACTCCACCACTTCGTTTCATCTTCACACGACCGCGAACTGTTTGAAACGAGGCAAATTACAATTTGTCATGAATATGGATTAAAAATCAAACCCAATCGCGGTTAAGACGTCACAGCGTTTAGGTGTGCACTGCATTCTCTCGCTTTTTCCAGGCGCTTTTGTTGAATTTGTTATTCAGATAGCATTTCTTGGAATATTGTTGGCGAATTATTCGCACTGTATAGTCGCTTTCAGAAGTGGATTTTTTTAAAATGACAATTTGCATTTTACGTATAGCTTGGAAAACTGAGATGTGTTTTTTAAACAAAATTTCTCGTCCTGTCAGGTCGAATGGAATCTGAAAAACTTGAAAATAGAAAAATAAAATTATTACACGAAAAAATACTCAAGCACTCTGGCAAGCTCATTGGTCAGGAATACCAAAATTGACGTGTGTAGTGTTATTAACTGGCTTAATTTTTAACTCGTCATTTTTATTGTAATAAAGGATGCGGAAATACTTCGCAGCAACATAATTACTAAACATTCCTGAAAGGTATGTGAGATAGAATCAATAGTTCGAACTTAAATTAAAAGAAATGTCCAGCCGGTGATACAAGGCAGGCTCTGGTATCTAAAACCATGCCTGTTATTTCATTGGGTAAAAATGTCACTTCCAAACCAGAAACTATCCTATTAGGGCAGATATAGGACACTGGAATGGTTGAATGCATGCAAATGGTTTACAAAGGTAATAGCGTGATTTTGATTACAATTTGCTATTAAAAAGTATGAGTATTAAAACGAGACGATTGCCATTTGCGGTGTTTCTGAAATTCCAAAGTCCTTGTTTTCCCCGTGCTTTACCTTTAAAAGTTCCTCGTCGATCCCTTCAGCCATACGTTCCCATTCGTTCTGTTATGTGCACGTACAGCCCCTATCGTTTCCCATAGATTCCCGGCGGATTCCCTCCTATGTTCCCCTCCGTTTGCTTGACCGTTGCACCGTTTGTTCCCAGTCCTATACCTCCAGCATATCCTTCTGTGTTTACCTGGCATTTCCAGTGTCCTCGTCTTGTGTTTCCTGTGCGTTCCGCTATGCGTTTCACCAGGTGTCACCGCCGGGTACGCAACTTGTGCGATCCCCGATGAGTCCCCGGTGAGTTCTCAGTGTCTTCCCTGTGAGTTCCCAGTGTATTTGTGGTGAGTGCCCGGTGCGTTCTCAATGAGTTCCCAGTGAGTTCTCGATGAGTTCCCGGTGATTTTCTGGTGAGTTCCGGTGAGGTCCCGAAGAGTTCCTGGTGTGCTCTCGATGTCTTCTTGGTGAGTTCCCCGTCTGTTCCTAGTGTGTTACCGGTGACTTCCTTATGAGTTCCCGGTGTGTTCCCGGTGCATTATCGGTGAGTTACCGGTGAGTTCCTGATGAGTTCCCGGTATGTTCTCGGTGTGTTCCTGGTGAGTTCTCGCTGATCATGAGTTCCCCCGTGTGTTCCAGGTGTGTTCCCTGCGAGTTCCCGGTGAGTTCCCGGTGTGTTCTTAGTGTCTTCTTCGTGAGTTCCCGGTGAGTTCCCCGTGTGTTCCTGGTGTAACCGGTGAGTTCCCGGTACGTTATCAGTGAGTTATCGGAGAGTTCCGATGAGTTCCCGGTATGTTCTCGGTGTATTCCTGGTAAGTTCCCGGTGTGTTCTCGGTGTGTTCCTGGTGAGTTCCCCGTGTGTTCCAGGTGTGTACTCGGCGAGTTCGCGATGTGCTCCCGGTGAGTTCTCGATTAGTTCCCGGTGAGTTCCCGGTATGTTTCTGGTGTGTTACCGGTGAACTTCCGGTGTGATCTCGGTGTGCTCCCGCTGAGTTCCCCCGTGAGTTCCCCCGATCCAACGTTTGTATTCTTTGTAAGTTCCCGATACCTCTGCGACTTCGTTTCTCCTTTCGTTCCCTGGCGCATTTCCCTACGAGTTCCCCTATTAGTTTCTCCTGTTTTTCCCAGGTGTTCCCTTTTATCTCCCACGCATTCCGTCATGGGTTCCCCTTGTTGTATGCTACATACAACCTCATTTGTTTCCCCACGGGTTCCCGGGCGGTTGTTTCCTAGTTTGTTTATTTCCACGTGTTCAATTATGGCTTTTCTCAGGGCTGGAAATCCTTGTAAAGCATCGCAGGTTGGGCGTGCGTCATATTTTGCGCAGGGTGTTGTTCATATGAGACTAGGCGGGGAAGTATTTTGTTTCGCAAATTGTTGAAGTCCATTAATTGAATTCGGAGGCTTGCATTTTCCGATTATATTTTTCCCTTTTTCTTCCACAACACTCAGTTTCAACCACAATATATTAACTTTTCTTTATTCAGATGTACAAATATAATTATTTTGTTTACAACGGACAACATGTCATTCTTCTCACATTACTGCATGATAAATAAACAATACACACCCCTGAATTAAAATCAAGAAAAAATGTGCCCATAGTACCCATGCTTTCTCCTTAACAGCCGTTATATGATAAACGGATTCTGCTAACGTGTTAACATCCTTGTCGCCACCCAATTCAGATCACCTTATGATTCATTTGAGCGGTTACAATTGTGGAATTTGTCACACGCAGCTGATTGCACGGGATTACATACAGACAGAACAATTGTAACCTCCCAATTCACATGATATGAATTGGGTGGCAAGAAGGATGTAAAACACATTAGCTGAATCTCTCTATTGCTATGCAATGCTGTTCTGCGACTTAATTTATTCAAAAGAGCTACATGATAATCAACCTCGTCCCCAGGGTCCTCTCCATTTTTCCGCCATTTTGAAACTTGTCGAGAAGAAGGTCCTGGGACGAGGTGGCATGAGAGCCCAACTTTGCCTAGTTCCTAGGCCTCAGTATTTCGCCGCGGTCATTCGTCTGGAAAACGTCACCGAAATCAATTGACCGTGAACGCCTCGGAGAAAGCCGAACTGGAACTAGGCAAAGTCCAGATTCAAATGAAATCCTTTGGTGTAAAGAGAGAAAGTTTAAGATAACAATAACAAGCAATTTTCCACAAGCCTTCTTGCTGAGCAAAAAATTTAATTTTCACAACATGCACTAAACATTGCTTTCAATTATCTAGAGAAAATATACTTCTAACCCTCCGTGTCTCATCAAAAATCGATTTACCTCGTTCGGTTGAGCAAAAATAACTGTACAATGTTCCATATTTAGTAAAGGTTTTCGCTGATTTCTTAGCCTAACTCTTAATTCTCTCGTATCAACAGTATAATATTAAATATCAAGGATAAAGGACATCAACTAGTTATGAACTCGAAAAAATGAGATAAGTTCATCAAGGCAAGCTTACCAAGTGTCATCATCAAATACATCAAAATTAGGACATCCAACCTCCTCCCCACCTCCTGCCTATTTGGGGGGAGGGGGGGGGGAGGGGATG